GACATTGACGTGAATAAGCCAGTGAAGACAGCAATGCACGATTTGTGGGATGTCTGGATGGATGAAAGATGGTCTTGCAGAGTTCACCCCATCTGGAAAAAGGAAGTGTCCAAGTAGAGATTTGATCATAGACTGGGTTGACAAACTCTGGAAAGGTATGTCAGAAGACAGCACGGCGATCATTTTTGAAACCAGGCGTCTCCAACAACTTGGACGGAACTCAAGACTACCTTATTTACAATGACCTGAAGACTGACGATTAAGACATCGACTTGAACGATATTAACGATGTGTCGCATACGACTTGTTTACCACTTCCGTGTGACTGAGAGTGTTCTAGAACCGTACTGTGTCTGGGTGGAATTTTTGGAAGCTGGTTGAATAGGTAATAGGACACTGTAGGAGGCAATAGAAGGTAATGGAACATTCTAGAAATTTGTAGTAAATTCCAGACTCGTTATGTATGCTGATGTAATGGTCTATTTATAGACAGTGTGGGTGTATATAGGGGAGTTGTTCAGCACTGAGATCAGATCGGAGATCTCGCTGAATTGTATTGGAGTTTAAGTATCTAGTTATTGGAGTAGTGGAGTTTTACCGCGTTATTGTACTTGATGTTTGCAGAGTATAATAATACCAGTACCAGTTGAAACCTCATCTGTTGGCTCCGTGTTCGTATTTTATCATCGCTGCCAGGGAAGTCTTTCTGTTACTGTTGCCATTTTGGTATTTGAACCATCACACCTGTACTATACCAATTACGGTAATATTACGTTGCGTGTGACACGATGCTATTTGACAGTTACAGCAATAAATGAACATTCCACAATGATGTCCTGCAGATCGAGAGCCTGTTTCTCACTGCGTTTTAGTCACTACATGGATACCTTCCATGGTCATAAGGATTAGAAACGAACCAAACCAAACTGCTGCCACCACATCCTCCAAAAAAATGTGCTGTATACCATATTACTCTGTTTTTACAATTTTAATCATGTTTTAATTGTGTGGAATATTCTGTGAAGTTGCATGTGTGATAAACGCCAACAAATCTTGATAAAACGCCCCCAAAATCTGAGCATCCATATTTACCATATGCCCCTATTCCAACCCACACCCCAACTTCATAGTTTTAAAACTAATTATTGAAGTTTCAGCATTGTAATAAAAAACGCAGTTAGTAATAGGATTTTAACTGTACCTTTCAACATTTAACAGTCCTTTTCCAATATCATTTTGAAGCTCTGAATTTCTTATCTGGTGAATGGATCCGGTGTGGAGGTACTTAATTAAAAAATAAACACTAATTACAGTTCTGTGCAATACAGTCACTTATTACGTTACTAGGTACACCAACAAGCATCAAGAAAGTCAGGGGGGGACTCCCTTGGCATGGGAAGCAAACTAATGCTTGGCATAATGTAGTTTTTACTAAGATTAGGCAACAATATGGACATCAGCCTTCAGATCTCATAATCGTAACTGTCACTGGCGTGGTACAACACTAATGAAGAGGCAAAATGATACTAGTTGAGGGACTTTCCGATCAAGAAAAAACAAGTAAACAAAACAAAAACCATTTTGGAGACCAGAAAAAGAAATTTAGTGAATTTTGAAAGTTTAGAATAGAAAAATAAACTTGTTTTGCAAAATCATTTTGTGATGTACCACATAATGCCTCCAGCATAGAGGTTATAATCATAAGGCATCATTATCCTGTCTAATTGAAGGTCGAGTTTCAGCTTGTCAATTTTTCACCTTTAGATGCTTGCTTTCTAGTTGACAATTCTCTAATAATTTAGTTTTGTAAGTTCTATCTATACAATATGGGTGTGGCTAATTACTGGCGCCAAGTTTGGAAAGCCAACTGTAACCTGGGCACCATGAGTACAGTGGTTGTGCATATGTGAACATGCATTGAATAATACATATACAAGGTTATTCACAAGAATATCGCATGCTCCGTACTGCCATAGTATATACTTTGAGATTTAATCTTGTGTCTGAATGCAACCTAGAATGTGTCAATTCATACAAGGGTAAATTTGAATGTGTAAATGAGTATGCCTCGTTACTGAACACCAATTCTAGATATTGCTAGATATATACATTTAGACAAGAATGCAATCATTTAATGTTTTATATTCTCATCTATTGTAGAATACTTCATTTTAGCTGGAATTAATTTTCACTGAAAAAAACGTTTTTGATGTTGCGTGGAATTTATTTTTACCGATTTTTGACGAGTTGAATGTAAAATATAAGAAAAAGGGTATATTCGCTGGATTTTATTTTCACTGAATTATTCTTTCAGCGAAAATAGCGAGAAAAATTAATTCCAAGCGAAAATAGAGTATTTTACAGTATATACCTTTTCAGTTAAATGCAATGCTAATGAAAGACTGATAATATAAACTAGTCTTACCCATACTATATTTCTCTACAGTTGTCTGTATAATGTTTGTTCAAATGTTGAACGAGGAATATCTTTAAATACTTGTCAGCATAATAGAGCAGCGTCTGCTTCAGTTAAGTCATGCCACTATGTTTGTTGAGAAAGTTGCCTTTGCAGTTAGTACATCAACCAGTTATGAAAATCATTTCATCAATTTTGATCTTCATTATTACAAACTAGTGCGTTGTCACTGGAGTGTTTCACGGCAGTTTTCATCCATACGAGTAATACGGAAGATCTTAGCAACAAGAAAAATATTATTGTTAACTTCAAATTTAAATACCATTAAAGAAAAGTGATTACAGAAAGAATACATGTACTGCCTTCAGATCTCATAATCGTAACTGTCACTGGCGTGGTCCAACACAAATGAAGAAGCAAAATGATACTAGTAGAGGGACTTAACGGTTAAGAAAAAAAAAATTATAACGAGTAAACAAAACAAAATTTTGGAGACCAGAAAAAGAAATTTAGTGAATTTTGAAAGTTCAGAATAGGAAAAAAAAGTAGTCTTGCAAAATCATTTTGTGATGTACCACATAA